GGCAAAAATCAGTTGAATGAAAGTCAGTTGTTGTAACAAAATTTATATTTGAATATATTTTTTTAAAAGTTAATTTGACAAATTAAAAGTTGTTTGGATTAATAAAAATTTGTGCTTTTGAAATGTACTTCTGAATATGCAATGACTAAAAAAGGACATCGGTTTATGATAATTTATAATTTTTTATTATACACATATAATATATTAGAAATGTTTAAAAAATATCAAAAAATTAAAATAATATGAAATTTAAGATGTTAAATAATAAGAATAAAAAATATATAATTTAATATTGAAAAAATATACTTGATTAATGATTTGATCTATAATATACAATTTGATCTCTAATGGACTCTCAAACCCTATTTATCTCTCTATTAGAAGTCATGCTTGAAATTGTACTTGGAATTCATAATGAAAATGTATGTTCATCATTATCATCATTAGTTTTAATCATATTTTCTTTATTAGTGTATGAAGTTATATGGATCAAAGGGTATCATGGTCATTTAAAAAATTAGGTACCCAATTATTTCCCTCATAATTGCTCCCAACTCATTTAACATTTGAAATGGACTTTTGAAATCCACCCAAAAATAGAGTTTCAAAATTCACATTTCAAACTCATTTTAACTCACTTTTAAAAAGTCATTTTGTTTCTTAAAACATTACCCAAACAACTTTTAACATTCAAAAAGTTTAAAAGTTCATTTCAAATGTTAAATAGATGAAAACCAAACGTACCCTCTATAATTTTGGAAAAACAAAATGGAAATTAGTGTATTTAACTCTCTTTTTTAAAAAAATCATGTTAATAAACTTAAAAGTTGTTTATATGATATAAACGAAAAATAATTTTAAATATATCATTATTAAAAAAATATCAATGAAAAAAAAATTTGATGGAGATAAAATTATAAACTTATTATTAACCCTGTATCCTCCCATCCTTAGGGTATGTTTGTTTCAACTTATTTTATAAAGAACTTCATTTAATTTTTTTTAAAAAATCTATTTCATAAATGTTAATTATGTTTGTTTAAATTTTTTAAGATAATCATAATATGAAAAAAGTTAGATTTTTAATTATTTTAAGAAGCTATTAAAAAGTAATTTTTGAAAATAATTTGATGTAACAGATGAGAGGTGATGTTTTAAAAAAGGTAAAATATATAAAGATAATTTTAAAAACAACTAACTAATAATCACTTTTTATTATTATAACTAAACATGAAATAATATATACTTTTTATAAAAATTTTAAAAAGTAAGTTTCATTTCATAAAATCTCCAAACTATTTAAAAATAATTTATTTTTTAATCCACATTTGTTTGCTTGTACTGTTTTATTATTTGTTCATTTTCATTATATTTGATAAATATATTAAAAGAGATTTATAAATAGGATTAGAGAGTAGAAGAAATTTAATTAATAATTAATTTTTTAATACAAGCATAACCCTTTGTTTAAATACAGAGAAAAGCTTAATATTTAAAATTATAAATGTATCTACTTTCTGTTTGAAATGTCAACACTTCAACAATATTCCTTAATTGAAAATTGAAATTTCAGATCGAGACAATCTTTTTACGAAAAGTCATCATGCCCAATTGCCTATTATTTTGTTTCATGTCCAATTTTATGAGAATTGTCATCTTTTTGTCTTATATGAATACTACGTTATTCTTTTTCGAAGGACTTACCTTTCCTCGTACATTACTCTATAATTTCACTTGTACTTCTTATCATTTTCTAAACATTTTTTTGGCGAATTATCTTTTTCTATTCTAAATTACTTCCTTAGTTTTCTTTTATCTTTTTAAGAAAAGAAATCCTAAATTTTCTCTCTGTTATTGGTGCCCATTTTCTTCCCCCAACATTGGAGCCCATTTGTTGTTGTGTTCATTTTTCAGATTTACTTCAGTCTTTCACAACCAATGATTTCAAAGAACGGATTTCTCATTTCAGATTTCATGCTTTGTTTATCGTCCTTAGATTGATAATGATTTCTACAATTTCATTTGCAGTTATTATCATTTTCTTATATTTATTTCACTATTAAAATCCGGAAATTTCTCTGTTTATATTTCTCGTTTAAAATTGTCGTCAATCACCGGTGAAATTCCATTCATGAAAAGTCATCAAGTCTTCCTTTCATTCCAAGCATACCCTTTGTATCATTTCGCAATTACTTCACTAGCTTTCTTTTATTTCTTCAAGACAAAAATTATAAAGTTCCTAAAATTGCACTTTTTTATTGGAAGATAAGAATGCTTAAAATTCTGAAGTGTATGTTCCTGTATTAAAATATTAATATTATCAGTTATTTGAAGTGGCAAAGGTTCCTTTCACAAGAACTCATTATGTCCTTTGGTTTTGGAATTTCATTTTCTTGTATCAACTTCTGGAATTTCAATTCCAACTAAGTGAAATGACAAAATTACTCGTAACAAAAGTAGTTCATCTGACTTTATTTGCACTTGATTTTCTAGACTTGATGAATGATTATTTACAAGAAATTTGCAATCCACCTTCCAATACTTAATATTGTACATTAAAAATTGATTTGAAAATAGTTTACGAGTAGTTTACAACTTATATTCTAGTTTTTAATAAAGAACATTGTTTATATGATGACTTATTCATGATTTGTCTTGAAACAGCCAGGAAAATACATGTTTGAAGCATTATATATGTTTTTTTGCTATGCGTAGATTGCCTATGACTTTAGTTCAATTACAGGGCATGACATATTATTGAATTTCAGTGAAAGCAGCAAAAGAAAGCAAAAGGAGGGGATAAAGAAGAAGCCTGTTCTTCAAAATATATCAGGAACACAGGTTGGTTCTATTGTTTTTGTTGTAACTGTCCTCCTTTTACTTATTTAATGTTATCCGTGTATTTTGTTTTTGATTTGGTGTGAACTTTATTTATTTATGAGAATTATGTTTGATTTAATTTGTTCAACACCCATTGCCTAATAGTTTTAATTTATTCACTATAACTAAACAAATTTAATTGAGGTTTGGCTTCATCTTTTTAACAGAGCCTAAAATGGATAGTTCATGTGGTTTGGTTGAAAAGTTACGAGATCTTGTGTTCAACCTAGCTTGGGAGCAACTTCTTTATCTGGGTTGCTATCACAGAAACATTGACCAGCTGAATCAACAACTTGAGGAACTTGAGCTTGAACAGAGATCGGTACAACATCGAATTGATGAGGCGACAAACAATGCAGAAGAAATTGAAGACAAAGTTCAGCACTGGATGCAAAGAGTGCAAAAGATATCGGAGAAAGTACAAAAGTTTCATGAAGAAGTGAGTCAAGCAAAAACAGAGTGTAGCTTAACTTCATGTCCCAACTTGTGGTTGCGGTATAAACTAAGCAAAAGGGCAAAGGAAATGGCACAGGAAGTTGCTGAAATTTATGGGACACGGAACTTTGATAAAGTTTCATATCGTAAATGGATGCCAGCATTAACCAGCAAAGAAAGCAATGAAGGGCTTCACTCAAGGATGCTAATTATAGATCAAATTATGGAGAAATTGCAGAATGCTAGTGTTAGTATGATTGGGTTGTGTGGGCTTGGTGGTGTTGGCAAGACCACAATAGCTAAAGAGGTAGAAAAGAAGGTGAAGAATCAAAAGATGTTTGAAAAAGTGATCATGGCAACTGTTTCTGATCATGTGAATATTGAAAACATTCAATACCAGCTTGCTGAGAAGCTGGGTATGCAACTCAATGAAAAAACTACAAAGCTTCTCATCTGTGTAAGAGGCTGAAGCAAGAGAAGAATATGCTCCTAATATTGGATGATCTTTGGAAGGAACTTAATTTTGCAGAAGTTGGAATTCCTGTTACTGGTGATGAAAATAACAACAAAAAGAATGAAGGTTGTAAAGTTTTATTAACTTCAAGGAATGAAATGCTGTTGTCAAACCTAATGAAACGTGAAAATATTATCAAAGTGGGTGTTTTGTTAGATAATGAAGCATGGGAGTTGTTCAAGTGCACTGCTGAACTTTCCATTGAATCAAGCAGTCCTTATTTGATAACCATAGCCAGAGAGATTGTTCGAAAGTGTGGATGCTTGCCGCTAGCGATTGTAATAGCTGCAAAAGCATTGAGAAATATTGAAGATCTGAATGTATGGGAAAATGCCCTTGCACGTTTGAAAAATCCTTTACGAAGAAATATCACAGGAATTAAAGAGGTTGATCCCATTTTAAGGTTGAGCTACGATCATCTAACCGAAGAGAACAAACATATTTGCTTGCTCTCTACCCTGTTGCCCCATGATCCTGAAATTAAAGACCTACTCATGTACTCTATGGGTTTAGATTTTCTTAAACATATAGAAGACATGGAAGATGCTCAAGCTGGAATATTTGCTGTGGTAAGCTAAAATCTTTGAATCTATTTCTTGATAGCTTTTCCAGTCAACATTTTATAATCCATGATGTCATTCGAGATGTTGCACTATCTATTGCATACAAGGAATTACATGCCTTCATTGTGAGACATGGAAGGTTGAAAGAATGGCCAGACCAAAATTTGCTAGAAGGCTACAAGGGAATTTGCTTAGAAAAAAGTGACATTAGTGATATTCCAGAAGAGTTATTTGCTCCAACGTTAGAATTCTTCCTATTAAATAGTAAAACTCGTGATTTGGCCATACCGAGTACATTTTTCAAATCTACAAAAGAACTCAAATTGCTGAGTTTAGTCAATGTGAGCTTTTCATCATTGCCATCTTTTATTTCTCTGAAAAAACTCAAAACGTTGTGTCCACACTCTTGTATGCTGGAAAACATAACTCAAGTTGGAAGTTTGAAGCAGTTAACAACTTTGAGTCTTGCTTACTCTGAAATTAAACATCTACCATTTGAATTGGTGTTGTTGACTTCATTACAAATGATTAATCTAGCCCATTGCTCTAAACTCAAAGTGATTCCACCAAAACTCCTGTCTAGCTAGAAAAAATTGGAGGTTTTGCACATGGAAAACAGCTTTGACCAATGGAAAGCTGAGGGATCTACCGAAGGTAATGAAAATGCAAGTCTTGATGAGTTAAAGGATTTGCCAATTTCTTCTTTAGATATTTCTATTCCTAATGCCTCTATTTTGCCAGAGAACTTGTTCTTAGATATGAATTTAAAGAGATATAGAATATTTATTGGAGAAGATTGGCAATGGTATGGCAATTATGGAACTTCAAAGACATTGAAACTTGAGCTAAAGGGCAATATCCATCTGAAGCCTGGGATTCGAAAGTTATTGGAAGGAGTAGAAGATTTGCATTTGCATGGATCTAATGGGCTTGAAAGTGTTCTTTACAATAGATTTCCACATTTAAGGCATCTTCAGATTGAAAGTAATGATGATATCGAGTGTATTATTTTGAGCTCAATACATCATGAAGTTACCCTACCAATCCTTGAAACTTTGAAGCTCGAAAAGATGAATGGGCTGAAGAAATTATGTGAAGGACCAATTGCAACCACTTTCCGAAACCTAAAAGTAATCAAAGTGAGCTATTGTCACCATTTGAAGTGGATTTTCTCAGCTTCTATGGTTGGATTATTTTCGCAGCTTGTTGAGATTGAAATTGAAGAATGCAACTCCGTCATAGAGATTGTGACGTCTGCTATTGAAAATTCACTTGATCAGCAAAGGTTAGCAGCTAATGATGTCATTGTTTTTGACAAGTTACACATTTTGAAGATGAAATCATTGCCAGCTCTTGCAAATTTTTTCATCAAGGAGAGAACAACAAATAATGATTGCAATAAAACATTGAAATTACTTTTCAACAATAAGGTATGTCTAAATTATTTTATTGTTACTTTTTCTTATTTTAACTTTCCCAATTTGCGAAATTCATTTTCTTTCTTTTTTTTTCGATGGAAAGCTTGCGAAATTCATTTTCACCAGAATTATTACTTTACTATGAGGCTTTTGTGGCACTTTAATTTGCAGGTTTTTTATATTATAAATTACTTAAAATAAGATAATAAAAGAGATAAACTAACTAAGCATTGAAAATAAAAAAAATGAAACATCAGATTATTTGATTTGCATCCTTAAAGAAAAGGCTTGAGTTCGACGTTTTGGAGTTTTTTTTTTCTTTTGTGAATCGAGAATTCAAAAAGCCTAGACACACAACTTTAAAAATGAATGGAGATTATGTTTTTTAATATAAGGTAGGATAGCAGTAGCATGAAGTTTTAGGGCCTCTTGGGTTTTTTTTCTTCCAAAAAACAGTTTTTTGTTTTTAAAAAAATTAAAAAACTTATTTAGATAATTGTTCTGTATTTAATTCTCTTTTTTGTTTTAAAAGCAAAAAAATCGAAACATCTCTATTTCATTTTTTTTATTTTATATTTTTAAAATGCATTATATTTTATTGTGGAAAATTATAACCGCAATTAACAGCCAGTGAACTTCACTACCTATCAATTTTTAAATTTTAAAATTGTTCTTAAATTAATACAACGATACGGATTTTTTTATTTTGAAAAATAATTTTAAAAATTGTATTGCAAATAGTTAAAAAAAAAGAGAATAGAAACCAAACAAGTCTATATTCACATTTTAGATTTTATTTTAAAATTTTTAAATCACTTTTCACTAAGCAGATATTTATTTTATTTTGTTCTTATTTTTTTCTTTGTTTTCACTTCTTAAAAATTTGAGACTTATCTGCAAAAATCATTTTCACTATCATTACTTTACTGTTAAGCTATTATGGTATTTTTAATTGTTTTTAATATTTTAATTACTTTTTTTTATGAGCTTTATATTTACTTTCCCCCGTTGTTATCGTTGTGAAAACTTCAATTTTAAATAATGCCCACAAACTGAGGGATCGTTTCTAGAAAATGGATGTTTTTTCTTGTAGAGATAGTGTTGGAAGTAGTTTATTAGTATAAGTAAATTAAAAAGGAAACTTAATTAAGAATGTATTAGGGCTGTTTGGTTTTTGTTTTCAACAATAGATTTTTGTTTTTAAAACAAAAAATTAAAAAACATTATTATTTGGATAAGTTTTTTGAATCTAATTATTTTTAAAAAATTTCTCATTTTTTTCAAAAATAGAAATATCTTAAATCTGTTTTCATTTTATTTTTCTTGTTTTCAAACTACATTATATTCAATTATTAAACACTACAGTTTTCTTGACCAATGATTAACATAAGCCATATCACTATTAACCATTAGAAACTATCACTATTAGTCTATTTTTTAATTCTAAAATTGTTTTAAATTAACACAGCCAAACCTTTTTTTATTTTGTTTTTAAAAAATTTTAAAAAATTGTATTGTAAAACAGTTTTTAAAAATAAAAAATGAGAACAGAAACCCAACATGCCCTTAGTTACTTGTTCAATTTTTCTTTTGAAGACATTTTTTATCCTGCAATTTTATCATTATTTTATTGGTTCTATATTTGAATTTAATTTAAACTTTTAACAATTTCTTAAAAAATATGGTGGTACACATGAGATCTTTGTACTTAGACATGTAAACAATTTTTCATGAAAAATAAGACTCTAGATCAAAAGTGAATTTCTTTTAATCATATTTTCTTTAAACAGGTGTTATTTCCAATGTTGAAGCTATTGAAATTATCAAATTTAAACAATTTGATTTCATCTATATGGGATGATCGACTTCCAAACAACTCTTTTAGCAACTTGAGAAAACTTCTTGTGTGGGATTGTGGCTTTGTGAAACTAATTCCCTTCCAAGTGCTAAAATCCTTGAGCAACCTTGAAGAACTGGAAGTGAAGCTCTGTAAGGAGTTGGAAATGGTGTTTGATTTAGAAGATTTGAATAGTTATGAAGAGACACCTCAGTCATCATCAGTGGATGTGCCATTGAAAAGGTTAGAGCTATGGAGTTTGCCAAAATTGAAGAATGTGTGGAGCAATAACCACAACAAAGGAAATGCCTCCTTCCAAAGTCTAAGGCAGGTTGAAGTTTCTAATTGTGGAAGCCTCACGAGTGTGTTTCCTGCATCTATAGCCAAAGGCATGCTTCAACATCTTGAACAGCTTGAAATACGGGAATGCAATATAGAAGTAATTGTTGCAAAGGATCAAGTTTCAGAGTCTGCTACTCCTGCATTTGTATTTTCTAGGCTGACTTCTCTTTACCTTCGTTCCCTTACAAGTTTGAGGAATTTCTATCCACAAAGGCACAAATTAGAATGGCCCCACTTTCAAAAATTATATATTATAAAATGTGATGCATTAGAAATATTTGAAAAAACAGTCTCAAGTTCATCAGAAATACTTGAGGAAGGGAGCACACTAGGCTTGCAATATCCTCTATTCTCTCATGACAAGGTACCTTTCTTATCAGCTCTTATCATTAAAAAAAATGAAACACCAAATTATTATTATTTTTTACAACCTATATATAAAAAATCTGGAAATTGATTTTTTTTAATTGTATTTAACCATATGAATGGTTCCTATGACTGGAATATTTAGTGGAATATAGTTTAGAATTTGATGGTTAGCTTTAAAAAAAAACTAAAGAATGTAAGTTCTGTAATTAATATTTTAATCAATAAATTTTGTAAAATAATTGAATAATTTTATATTCGTCCTTCTAAAAAGTGGAGCACCGATTCTCACTTTCGAGTTCTCTCACAAAATAATTGCATGATGAATTGGGAGAGGGGATAGAGTTTTTTTTCCCCCTCCTTTTTTTCTGGAAGATGTTATAAGCTTCAGTTTTTTATATTTTGTTTTGGAATAGAAAGGAGCAATAACATTGGAATGGCACAATAGAAGATCGAAACTCTATAAATTCATATTGACTTCGATTTATCATAATTACAAGCTCAAGTTAATCAAAAAGAGCATGTGCTTTTCTAATGTATTGTGCAGGTTTTTCCCAATCTGGAGGACTTGCGATTGGATATAAAAGTAGTAGACATAATGGAGAGTGGGCAGTTTGCAATGCACCACTTTCCCAAAGTAAAAATCCTTCCTCTATTTGCTGAAAATGTAACAACTTTGCCGGGCGAATCATTATTGAGCAGCTTCCCAAGTTTAGAGTGTCTCATACTAGGGGATGAGTTTGGCGTCACTATTTGGGGTAGTGATCTTTTTCGAGGGGATGGTGTTGCTACGCTTTTGCTGCTCCCTTTCTAAAAGTGGCTCTTCTCGGTATTTCCAATAAGAAAGGCATGGGACCATCCATCTTTTCTCAAACAATTGTCACACATCTCGACGTGAAATTGTGTTATCAATTGACCGCTTTGCTAACGTCATCAGCAGCTCGAAGCTTGGTCCATCTCACATGCCTCACAATTGATTGGTGCTATCAAATAGAGGAAATAATAACAAAGGAAGAGGGAGAGGATGACCAGGATCATGAGATCATTTTTAGCAAATTACAGCATTTGGAACTTATTAACTGTCCAAGATTGAAGAGCTTTTGTGGCCATAATTATACCTTCAAGTTTCCATTGTTGGAAAATGTCACCATAAGAGATTGTCCTCACCTCACAATGGTTCTGTGGAGGTGCCATACATGCTCTGTGCCTTAAAAGCATTAAAGTGACAGACAATCCAGGTGAAAATATTTGGATGAGCGATCTTAACAACACCATCCAACATCTCTTTACTTCTCAACAGGTATGCCAAACATATACTCACATTCTTATTTTCCATTTTTTTTTTCAAAATTTTTCTCCTTTAAAATTGAGCACTAAAATATTTCATACAAATTTGAGTTTCAACTTTCTGTCAAACCTTGTAAATTATAAACTTTCCATATTACACGGCTCGAATTGCATGCAAATGATGGCCTATTATAGTTGTGATTGTTCTTGTGGCAAACATTATTTTTTGGTACATCTCTTGCTAGAATTATTTAAAGGAATTTATTTTTATTTTAAAGTATCAATTTTATTTTATGTGTGAAATTAATGATAAAAAAATATAATTTTTAGAATATTGCAGATCGATTGTGAAAGATTTTATCTTCAATAAAATAATAAATTATTTTAAAAAAAATATCTTGATTTATGTATTAAATTATTGCCTTAACATCCGAATGGTTTCATCATCTGTTGATTTTCAAGTCCATTGTAAAAATTCTAGTTCTAAATGCGAATATGAAATAGAGGAAGGGTTTTAATTTTAATTTTTGGATGAGGCTTTAAGGAGGAATGTTGAAAAATATAAATATTAAAAAAAGATGAGTCAACAAATTAAGAAAGATTTAATCCGAAGCTAACTCACTCTAGAAATTATTCTTCAAAACAATACATTGATGTAATATATATGGAATCCCCTTCTATGTTTGGTAATTGTTTTATTATTTATCATGTTATAGGTAATTGCCACAATTGAAAGCATGGCGTTAAATTCAACAAATATCTCAACAATAACAGATGTCTTTCCTAAAGTGAGCAGTCTTTACGTAGAAAACTTTGTCAATGAGGGGGCAGCCTTTCCTTATAACTCCCTTGAAAGACTTCCAAAGCTATCTTTTCTTTATGTGGAGCATAGTTCCTTTGAGGAGATATTCCCATCACAAGACCAGATTACTGATCAGATGAGAAAAGTTCCGCCATTCAAGGGATTAAAATTGGCCTATTTGGATCAGCTCAAGAGCATATGGAAGGATGATTCTCAACTTCCACTAATTCATCAAGATCTAGAAAGCCTCACAGTCAAAAGTTGTTGTAGCTTGATTGAGTTGGCACCATCCTCTGTTTCATTTCAAAATTTGAGCTGGCTGAATGTTTTTACATGTCATCAACTTAGCTATTTAGTAACAAGTTCATCTGCCAAAAGCCTGGTAAATCTTCAATGGTTGGAGATAAATGACTGCAAAAAAATGGAGGAAATAATAAAGAATGAGACAAATGATGATGTGGAAGGTGGAATCTCATTCAATCGTTTATCTGGAATCATGCTTATTGATATGCCAAGCTTGAAAATGTTTTCTCCACAAAGTATCCCGATTGAATTCCCAAAACTAAATAGTATAGAAATAACTGGATCGTTCAAATGAAGAAGTTTTGTGGAGGAGTGGAAGCACCAGAGTTCTTTAAATTGAAAGTAGAAGAGCATGATATGGAATGGAAGGATAAAGCTAGAGACCTTAACAAGACAATAGAAATGCTATTGTCAGCAAAGGTATTATATATAGAAGTGATTACCTCCTATTGATGCCTATGTCATGTTTCTTTTAAAATTACATTTCTACAAGCAAACTAATATTATGGTTTTGTATTGCAGGATGGCGTTAATATATAGAAATGGTGCAGGTTTGTATAGTTTCATGATTTTGTTGCTAAAGAACTCTCTCTTTTCTTAAACTTTTTTTAATTATGTTGTTTGTGCTTTTCTATACATCACTAAAAAAACAGAGTTGCTTGTTGAAATTTATTTCAATATTTCTTTTCCAGTAGTAGTTATACATCATGATATCAAAAACAGCTTTGTGTATTAAGGGACGAAATATTGAGGAGCTATCTTTCGGTGTTTCATTTTTTTAAGCTTTCATTTATATCAATTTTTTCCCTTTATGTACATCTCCATTATTGAACCGATTGAGTTGGTTGGAAAAAGTGAACAATTTTTTTTTTCGTTTTAAAGAAACTAGCTAGTTGTGGTTTTAAAAAGACAGAGGACAACTGTGATATTTAAAAGAAAAGGATTATTTTGATAATTTGATTTTTCCCAACTATTTAACCCAATTTTTCAACTAAATATGCTATATATTTGCAAAGGTGGATCATATAAACATGATTTTCTTGACACCTACTACAATATGATGCTAATGTATCTCATAACATGGATGTACGTAGAATATAAACTCAATAATCCTTTTCCTTTCATTGCTTGATTAATGCAGGTCTATTGTTGGTGATGTTGATACTAGCTTGATTGAGAATGTGGACAGATGTTTGTGCGTTGATGCTTTTGTTGAATTATCAGATTATACATTTCAGTTGCGTTGTGTTAAACTTTGATATATTGAGCTCTGTTTTTATCATAAACAATAGTCCTACCAATAAATTAAGGGATGAAAGACTCTGCCTTGGTCAAAATGTTGCCCTTAATACGTGGTTTGTTCGTGCTTTATCAAGACTCAAATGTGTGCAAGACTCTCTTGTGGTTGTGAAGTTTTTATTCAACAATTGTCTGGTTTGCTTAATTATGTATTGTGATTATAAATTTTTATTCAAGTTTTGTACGATTTGTTTCATTAACGCATTGATATTCTTATGTAGCCAAGGTTATAATTAAAATCAATTAGTACAATTTGGTTGCTCACAGTTGAACATGGGCTTTCTTGGGTCCGGGGAGAAAGAGAGGGGAGCATAGTTGGGCTGCTCAATGATTTTAAGTTGATACATATTAATATGACGTCACATCTTAATTTTAAATTTTAAGGTATTGAATTTATGGGATTTTTTTACTTATATACATCTTTTTTAACCCAACTCTATATAATGTTGATTTTTTTTTTTCATATCATGTCAAGCCAACCCACATTTGACATTCCAACAGTTTTTTAGTAAGTGCATGAAAGTAGATCCATTTTTCATGATCTTTAAAGGTATCAATTAGAACAATAAATGAAATAAAATGGGATGTTTATGTATATAATTGAATATTCTTTAAGAGTTTGATTAATAATATAGTACAACAGTAATTATGTAATAGATCCTATCTAATGAAATAAAGCTTTGTTTAAATTTTAATATACATATAAATAAGATTGAACTTTAGAAAAGTTAGACATAAATATATGTTTATTTTACGACCCTATCTAATGAAATAAAGCTTTGTTTAAATTTTAATACACATATAATCAATATTGAACTTCAAGAAAGCTAGACATAACTATGTTTATTTTACGTGAATTTAGAGATGAGATTTAAATCTAATCATTCTATATCCAAAGCATGTATGATGCCACTGCAACATCAACTTATTAGTATGAGGTAGTTTCCATATTGATTTTTTGCATAATAGGATCCGAGTTAAAAAAAAAAATTGGTACATATCTTGGACTGTTCAAAACGAATTCAAAGTAGATCAAACATTTTGGTTTGGTATTTTCAATGGAAAAAATCTTTTGAGAATAAAAGAATATTTTTTAATGATAATTTAGCAATTTTAACTATTGAAACTAATATACTATTCTTAAAATACTTGATTATTAACTTTAAATATCACAAAAAATTGTAGACACCTTTTAACTAATTGTAACATATTTTTAACCAGTGATTTATATATTTTTAAAATCAAATTTTATTTCTAATCAATTTTGATTGGTTCACATTAGTTTGGTTCGGTTTGATATAATTGATTTGGATTTATTTTGAATATCTTAAGTTTGATGACGATTTGACTGCACTTTGATTATTGATCTTTGAACTAGTTCTTAATTCAGTTTTTAAAATCTTGATTAAAAGTGATTGCAAATCACCAGTATGGTGAATAGTGCTATAAAAATGCTTTGTTCACCTCCTGTCATTTGCAACCTCTTTTAGAGTCTTAAGTACAAACCAGCCGATTCTTGAACAGAGAGGTAAGGGAATATTTCAGTGTATTCATTGTTTTGCTACATTTTTAATTTTGATTTCATAAAAAACTTATTGGAAGAGAGTATTTTATTTTATTCAATATTGTTTTTTCAATCATGATCATCTATAATTATCTTGTCTGTTCTTTGCGTTTTGTCAAACGTATGACATACACTATATTGACTATACAAGGGTTAATGCCCTCCTCCAACAATGATTTGTTGTCTTTTTTGCTTCCACTTTCATGCTTAATTGTTTCTCACTTTCCCAAGTGATTTCTCACAGTAGGTTTTTTGGTTTTCTTTTTACTTTTGCTTGTATATTTTGACTAAATTAAAAAAAATGTTGCATTGATAATACTAGATAGAGACATTGATCCTTGATATAAAATTTATTACAAGGAAATTTTTAAATAAATCTATGACAAATTAACTCAACAAAAAAAAAGCTTGTGACCACTAAACTCTAATTTATTTTAGGAAGAATTTATGTTAAGGGCCTGGGAAGACACATAATTTTTAGTAGATCCCTAAAGAATATGTAACTTCATTTCAGTTCAAAATAAGTTGAATACAAAAAATACAAAAATACCCTCAGTTCAAGCATTAAAAAAAACCATTAACAGAGCACTACCACCAGTGACAGGAGCCTCACCTGCAACGGCAACCACTAGACTTTCATCGCCAGAGCTTCAACCGCTAGCTGGACCATCGCTGGAGGTTAATTCTCCAAAGGTGGCCAAGAGTGGGTGTAAAACCCATGACTCCTTAGCTCACCAAAAATGTATGAATCACTAAGCCATTGAACTCATTCAATTATATAATGCATAAAATTATATATATATATATATATATATAAAACCTTATTTTCAAACCACTTGATTATTACGTTACTTGTTAATCATGTAACTTTACTTGTTAATACTTTAACAGAACTTGTCAATTACTTAACTTTCCTTGTTAAGTTCGTGACTCCCACAACAAAACTACATTAATTGTGTAATTGTACTTGTTAATATCTTAATAGGACTTGTTAATTATTTAAATTTACTTGTCAAATTCATAACTCTTTGAACTGAACTGCATTACTTATTAATCATGTAACTTTATTTGTTAAGTCCGTAACTCTCTCAAAATTATATGTATAATAAATCTTATTTTCAAACCTTTTGAGTATTATGACAAAAGGCATACTTGTTAAAAGCCTAATGTAACTTGTCATTTCTTTAATTTTAATTGTCAATATTATATTTGTTTTTTAGGGTATTTCTCTCTCTCTCTCTCTCTCTATATATATATATATATATGCATGTATAATTGAGTATCCAATTTGATGAATACTGATAAGGGAGACCTGACTGTCATCATTTTCGTTATCTGACAAACTTAATTTTTTATATAAATTATATGTTCATTTAACAAGTGACAATAAAAAATTAACAAGTATTGTTGAGGAATTAATAAGTAAAGTTACGCAATTAATAAGTAATTTAAATGCTTTTTTGGAATAATGGTTAAACAAGTCTTATTATGGTATTAACAAGTTAAGCTATACAATTAATGTCACACCCTGATACTAATGGTGTGACCAACACAAAATATGAAATAAACTTATATTTCATAAGCCTCAATTATCCAAATATTAAACTATAATAGTGATAGATATTTATACTGATCAATAGATCGTATAATATATATATATATAATTATAAAGTTCATAAAACTTTAAATATTCGGTAAAAATTTTGGTAGAATCTCCCCTATAATTAGAACATCCCAAAATTTCTATAGTCAATAAACCTATCAACAAATCCAAAAGAGGAGCTTAACTCCACATCAGCAGATTACATGATAACAAAAATAAGACCAAAATCTAGCTACAATATACGTGGAGCACTAACCATCATTGTATAATATAATGACTATTTACATTAAAATAAATGATTGAAGCATGCTTCCACTATTCAAAAAGCAATAGAGTCCCTAAATGATTAGCAGGAGGTGCAGGGTCAGCTACATTATTTGAGACCAAAAAAAATTTTTGGTGAATAGTGTCCCAATGAAAATCATAGATAAAACATGTAAAAGTAATAATTAATAAAATTTAGTTTATAACAAATCAATGTAATATTAAAACCCATATTTTACTAACAATAAATGACAAAGTCGCTCAATAATATAATCATGAAATAAACCAATAATTTTTAGAGTTTTATAGGTTATCAAGAATACAACTCATAGAAATATAAAAGGAATTCAAATAATGATATAAAAAAATGCTTGTGAATAACTAATATAAAACAAAAAAAAAATTAAAACCAATCTAGGAGGGAATTTGCCATATAAAATCATATACGATCAAACAACAATTTGTTTAATTGAATAAATTTAAAAATAATAAATTTTTAAAAATTTACTTTTAGTGGGATTTTGTCAGAACAATTAACAAACGTGAACATACAGTTCATAAGAATAAATAACCAACAAGCGCGATTTAAAGCCACGAAATAATTAAGCACGACTAGAAGTCACGAAACAAACGCAAGCATGAAGCCCACGAAACAAGCATGAGTATGATGCTTACGAATATCCATCCATCCGTTCCACATGCATTGGCCTGCGCACAGGGCTAGCACCTCCTATATGCCTGCTAGCTAGGTGTACCGTGGGGCGCTAAGGGCTAACGGAACTACCGTTAGCATCTAGCGTTCTAACTCAGTCCCCCTGATTAAAATCAAGCGTGCATGGGGTTGAAACATTCATTGAAAATCATTCTTTTCAAAATATAATATTAAACTATCAAATTTTCTTTCCAATTTCCTCCATGTACGAATCACCGTTTTTAATAATGGTAGTATAACTTGTAAAAATTTAAACAACAAAAATGTTTAGAATAAATATTCTGTTAATAATGTATCAGATCCAAATATTCTTTGACAAGAGCATAATTCTTAATGAATATAAAGAAGATTCCATAATAACAGTTAACACAAAAGTTAGGTAAGTAAAAAGAATTGTATGAATCCTAAAATAAAAATTGACAAGATTATTTATACAACTTATAAAGGAATAATGTAAAAATTTAAATATAGAAATTTTATAAACATTTTGTAAAAAATTATCTAGGACACTAACCACTCACTTGAGAAATTCTCCAAGAGTTCTAAAGCTTGCTTTACTTCAACTTTTTACTTTAATTCCAACAATGCCATTAACTCTCGAACAAATAAATCACAATCGTAAAATCATTTTTGTCACAATTTTCTTAATGTAAGTATTTAACTATCAACTTCCAACAACTAGCAAAATTATCTTTACTGTATTAATTTCTCACTACATCCTTCAGCTTTACTTGTCAAGTAATTTCCCAAACACTTAGTGAATATTCAAAATAGTACCATAATCATTTAAACTTTAAATATACTTGAGTCAATTAAACTATTTAACAAATCATAGTCTATCCTTCCAACTCCTCTTAACATAATATTAAACTTCTCATTGTCACAATTTCTCTTTTAGCCATTTTAACATATACCTCATGGGCACTCAAGATGATATATAAGTAAACATCTCCTTAACCCTCTATCAATAACCCTTTTCAATCACTTCCAAACTTGTCAAGA